GTCAGTACAGTGCCCAGGACAAACCCACGGGCCTGGTACCAAAGAGGGTGTGGGGTCCAGGGCCACCTCTGAGCCCCTCAGCCTGGAGCTTCTGGAGCTGTGGCTTTTTTGAGTCCTTTGCTTCTAACTTTCCTTAGGGAACCGAGGTGGCATACGCCCCCATACCTATTCATAGCTACACCTGTAACTCGAGGGCTGTGTACAAATAAATGCCAGGAAGGTCTCATTGCTCTAGGTTTTTAATAAAATCAAAATACTGTGTGGTAACTTAAAAAGCTCACTGTGCTTCAGCCAATGTGCCCTCCTGGGCCAAGAGGAAAAGGAGGCCTTGAGACTAGCCCTGACCTCGGGGTCATTGACTCCTGTCTGGGTGAGGGCCCTCTCCCTCACTGTTCATGTTCTGCACTGCGGCACAGGACAAAGGGCCTCCACCTCTGACAAGTGCGAGTTAACCTCCATCCTGACAGGCAGTGTTGACCCTACCCTGATAGGTGAGAGCTGACTTCCGATGACAGTGCTAGAGCCTGAGCCACAGCCAAAGCAGGTGTCGGAGAGGGACAGTGAAGCAACCTCTGAGTGGCATGGCAGGACTGCTGAGGGGTCAGCACCCTCCAAGCCCAGCCAAAGCAGGGCTTTGCCAAAGTCCAGCTGCAGGCCAGGAAGGCGGGACCCAGGGATACTCCCTAGATACTGATCAGGGAGGCACAGGTCCTTCCTGAAGTTCCCTTATGTTCCAGTGTGAGCTCTCCCGGCATGCCAAAGCCCTACTCCTACGGGGCCTGGCACAGGCCACGCATTTTCTCGCCACGTGCCCTCCACGTGCCTGTCACTGAGTGCCGCGTGGGGCCCTGGTGCTCACCTCCCGCAGGGGTATGATGAGGTGGCAGGCATCCTCCTCTTTGCTGGCGAAGCAGATATAGTTGCTGGAGATGAACATCTGGCCAGGGATGTGCAGCTTGTTGAACGGCGTCCACAGGGTGCAGCTCGTGTGGCCATCCAGGCGCTCATCCCCAGGCAGCCGGAACGTGGCCCGGTAGCTCTCGTTCTTGGCTCGGGCGTCCAGATCTCTGGAAAACCCCAGTGCGGGTGGGAGGGAAGGGGACAAGAGTTGGGTTTCCACATCAGATGTGGGCTCTTTGGAGTCCTCCCATGAGCAAGTTGTGCCCAGGGATCTTAGAGTCTAATAAAACATGCACCTTAAATGGCCAAGTAAAACGTGGGACATTTGTATGGCCAACACAGGACTGGTCAGCAAACAACATGTCCTCCAAGACCTGATGGCTGTGGGAGGTCACCTGGAAACTGACAGGGTGTGACACGTCGCTTGCCCAAAGGGTCCCTGCACCAGCCCTGCTGTCTCTCACTGGGAAGACCCAGCCCCACCTAGAAAACAGGGTAAGGCCCTCCCAAGAGGCAGGTGTGGAGTTAAGGCTAAAACACATGATGCTGTTGCTTGATTGAAAATACACACTTGCTTGGCTTATGACTGCAAGGTGGCCTGGCACCCTGCTCCTCACCCCTGTGGCGGCTCTGACCTTGTAAACATCTCTCTCCCAAGCCCCATGGGGGCTGCCAGCAGCCTGAGTACGGCCTGGAGGGCATACCTTGATGGACAGTGCCAGAGACTGTTGAGTCCCAGCCCTGCTCCTCTTCCTTTCAGAAGGTGCCAAAAGCCATGCCATCACTTGCTCTGATCCTGAAGGTGTACCCCAGGTCCTGGGCCTCGGCTTTGGTCTCCGAGCACTTGGGTGTGAACTGGCTGTGGGACCCAGGGGTTCAGGAAACCTCTGTACTCCCAGCCAGCCTTGCCTGTTTCCTGTGAAGCTACAACTAAGGAGCACAGACAGAAGTGCTCGGAGGGGCTGCCACCATTATTGGTCCCTTTGTCTACCAATCCCCACAAACGGTAGTAGAGACCTCAGGCCTCCCTGACTGCACTCTGGCCCCAGGCCTGGCCCCACAGCTACGGCTGTGAGTGGCCACTGGCTGAGGGGTGCTAAGAAGAGCTGTCAATCACATGGGTGGAGGCTGTGCACCCTGGAACCTGGCTACTGAAGCTGGCCAGAGCAGCCTCTGAGGGCACCTGACAGGTGGTGGGGACAGGCTGGCAACCCGTTGGAGGCTCACATCTTGGCTCCACTGCTGACTTGCGACAGGGCTTTGGGCCAGTTACTCAACCTCGCTGTGCCTCAGCTTCTACGCTGAGACCAAGGAGTGTGTGCGACCTCCCCATCACGGGTTGGTGAGAAAAAAACGTGCCTCTCAGGACAGCCCCTGTGCCCTCCTGCAACCACGCCTTTACCGGCCCCTTCCCACAGATCGTCCACCCTGGGCAACGCACCGCTTCAGAGCTGAGATGTTCCGATGCGGCCGGGAGGGCCTGGGCAGCGCCTTGTCCTCCAGGAAGCCCTCACTGTCCAGCAGCTGACGCATGGCCAGGTTGGCCAGCTGCTCCATGAGCTTGAAGGTCTCTCCAATGTTGAGGAACATGGAAAAGAAGAGCTCCTGGTGCCGGGTGTCCACACGGATGCTCTCGGGGAAGAGCAGGGTAGCATTCTTCTCCAGCTGTGTGACGTCCACCCACTGCACCACGAGGCTCACTGGACGCTCACAGGGACAGACACATCACTGGGTCAAATGTGCCGGAGGGCAGGCTCCTGACTCCCACCTGCACCCGGAACCCACCAGGGGGAGCTGCACCCCAAGCCTGGCTGTGCTGAGACATACGCTCCACCAGGGGACAGGGCCACTGGGGTCTCCACTGCGTCCCAGGTCAAGCCAGTGCCAGCCCAGGAACAGACTGGGTGCACATTTGCCCCATGAATGGCTAGCATGACATGAATGAATGTGTGCACGTGAGCTAGCTGAGATTCTGGCCCCAAGAAGCCCCATCTAGCAGGAGTGCAGATGTGGAACAGGTCACAACACGGTGTGACCAGCACAGAGGGGACACCAGCCCAGCGTGACATGGAGGTAGGTGCAAGGGCGGGAGGAGGCCTTGCTGGGCTTGGGAGACGCAATACTGGGACAGCCGAGTCCCTGGGGGCTCTTTGTGAGGGTGAGGTGGCAGCGGAGGACGCTGGCTGCCCTGGGGAGTCTGCCTTGTGTCCAGGGCTTCCCCCAGGGAGGGACCTGCAGCCCCAAGGCCCAGTGTAATCTGGAGCCACTC